CTGCTCAAGCTGACAGGTTGTTTCACAGGCTCAAGGATCTGCCACAGATTTGTCACTCCCATTGTTCTAGCTTCTTTGTTGTCAACATGAAGGTTTTAGCTGTAAAGATCAAGTAAAATAAAATAGTTTCAGAATATAACATGAAGTATGGCATTTATTTATGAATGTTAATCTGAAAATAAACACTCACTATTGTGTTTACTTTTAAGAGCCAAGAACACTTGCAGTCAAACCTTATAAGCATCTACTGACTCTAGTTCACAGATGGTTTATTACTGAATACCCTCTTTGGAGGGTATGTTTTTATTGTAATTAGCCTGAACAGAAATAATGAAAACAAATTCATTTAAAAAAAAATTCTTGTGTTCCATACATATCCCCAATCCAAGTCTTTAATTAAAAAAAAAAAAAAAACCTCAAGAGAATTATTCCTCCTTCTGAAGCTATCGGACTCACATTAAAAATATTTCTGTTCAAATAATAGTAGCCTACAGCTACTTGAAGGATATTTACAAACATGACAGAATCAAACTCGCCTTGGTAGTCCAAAATAATGCAACAAGGGACAGCGGCCACAGATTGTCTCCTGGGAAATTCAAGTTGGACATTAAGAAAAAACGGTAGAGGGTAGCGCAGCACTGTTGCCCACAGAGGTTGTGGAACCTTCATTCTCGGAGGTTCACGATGTTAGCTTGCTAGTTTAACCCACTCTGAGGAAGAAATCGTAATAGACGACCTCTGAACAACCCTTCCAACAAACACTTGCATACTTATAACAGTGTGTGTGATTCCAGAAACATGCCAGTGCATCTGTTTTTACCGTTTTTAATTTTGGTTCTGCATGACTTGTGCTATAAAGCCTATAACATATGCCAGCTAATAATGTACACCCACTAGATGGTATATTTCTTTGTCTCTTATGCAACTTTATTTATTCCCCATGCCTACCCCACTATCAGCTTTTCTTCCTTCTCTTCTCTTTCCTTTTCTGTTATTCTTCTGGCTTTCACACCTTGGCACTTCTGTATAAAGCCTCTAGCATGTGTGTTAACATGTGTTAACATATCCTACTTTCTTTCTGATGTTCTTTGTGTGCCCTCTCCCCCATAACTCTACTCCTACATTATCTCATCACACAAAGCTTGCCTTGTGATTATTTCTCGACTTTTACCTCTCCCCTCTCAAAATTAGAGGATAAAAATCAAATAAAATCGGGGAACTTCTTGCATTTCTTGCACTTTGAATTTGAAATTACTGTATGCTCCAGACAAAAAAAGCCCTCCTCCTTTGAGGAAATCGCAACCAGACGAGCTTCCTGTGCTCTGAGATCTGCCTAGGACAGGTGAGGAGCTATGCCACCTTGCGGCTTCTTGCGAACATGGTGATGCAAAACTCATGAACATTCCACATCTAACACCATCACAGAGAACAGCAGCCTGGGTTTGCATGGTGCTTTATGTTCAGTACTCAAGAACTGTTTTAAAACAATGCAGCTAAACCAATAACATACATCGTTTCTGCCACTGCAGGAATTGCAGGTTGTTTTTAATCAGCAAGACTTTTTTTTTTTTCCTGTTGGTTCTCAGGGAAACTTACTTTCAACAGAGATTACTTTTCTCTAGATTCCTTTAACTCCTTTAATAACGCAACCTGGTTTCAGTCTTGCACGTTTAGGACATAATGAAATAAAGTATTGATTTTATTGTTATTACGTCTCGGGCACATAAAATGAGTTACCTAGATCTATGTTAAAGCATGAAAATAAGTGGCCTAATTTCTCAAAGTGCAGGATGATGATCTCTTTCACGTTAAGGTTCTTATTAACTGGTATCAGCAGTGGTTGAAGTGCTTCTGGTGGGGCAGGGGAAGAAGAACCAGAGAAGGTTCACATGGGAACCTATTTGAAATAAGCTACCATATTTGAAGTGTTCCAGCTCAGCCTATAAAAATGAATTTCATTCCAATTTAGGGCAAAACAGCTTTTGTTGTTGAATATATTTCCGTTCATTTCATAAAAGTTTAAGGCAAATAGGTGCCACAGATCCATGCAATAGGAATATTTTAATGATGAGGGAAGGAAGGGAATACACTGCTGCTGGATTACAGCACGATATTTCACAGACAAAACAAATAAACAAAAAAACCCACAAGCGTTCTCCTTAGTAGCACGCTAGGGTTCCTTTTCTCAAAGGCTTGTGTACTGCAGTGAAAAACAAGTCATTAAAGGTAAATCTTGAGAAATGGAGCATTCCTGGCTAGCAACAGTGCACATATTCTATGGAAACTCTGTAGAGCTTCAACCTGCATATCCCTATAAATATCTAAACACCACTATAGTATAAGAGAGAAGTCATGGCACTGTTTGTGCAGTCGTCTCCCCTCCTCCCCCCAAAAAAAGAAAAAAATCCACCCCAACCAAATCAAAAAAACCACAACAGCTAAAAACATTAGCAACGGGCAGCTGAGCGACTGCATCATCTAAGATGGCCAGTCGTTCTATTCTTGCAATACACGTGCCTTACAATTGCAAATAATTATTTTTTTTTCCTTTCCTGTCACTAACAGGCTTTTTCTAAGCTCTATCTATAAAATATAAGACGACTGGGGAAAAGCGGGGGAGAGCAAGGGACTACAAAGGGCATTCAAACCCTCTCAAAAGCTAAATACGACATTCAGCTTTAAGGGCTTTAATGAGATAACATCTAGCAACACACACACACAAAAGGGTGCGTGGGGGGAGAGTATGGCTTTTTGACCTTATCCTTTGGTACCTATCAGCCTCCATTATCCATACACAGTTTTGGGAACTCTGTTAGTTGGTTTATCAGTGTTCTTACGGACTGTCAGACGGTATTTAATAAACAGGAAAGACAAATACACTAGAAATACTTAACACTGTAAGAGTACAAATGAAGAGATTAAAAAAAAAGACAGTTAAAAATGGAGAGCTAAAAAAGAAAAATATGAAACAACAACAACAAAAGAAAACCCAGCATCAACATTGTCCTTAATGAGATAATAAAGTACTGTTATTGAGGACAGAACTTTACCACAAGGTAGTCAAAGTATACCTTTTCCTAAGCCAATACTAGATCTGAGACCTACCATATCTTTAGGTTTTTTGTTTGTATTTTTGTTTTCTTTTTTGAGTGTATTCTGTAAGTTATTTAGATCTAGATCCTGCTTACAGATAGACCTACTACTATAAACAGGAGTGGTCTGTTCATTCAGATTTTACCAAGGCTGTTTGTTCATCCCAAGTCTCCCATGCTCTTAGAAAGTAGTTAACTTTCAAATCAGAGAGTTTTTCCACACACTTGCAAACCACTGAAGAAGACCCCAGAGTGCTGCTATAAGATCATTCACAATAAATAAAATATAACCCTCCCCCCTACAAAACTCTCAATTTCTCATTGAGCCAATATGGACTATAACCAAACTCTACTTGACAAATCATCCTTTAATACTGAATATTTTAACTTACAAACGTTTTTACACTGCTAATGTAAGCCAGCTACTTGAAAATAGCTGCTGAAGACATTTAAAGCTAAGATTTAATTCATACAGACACACTTTCACTGATTGCTAAGGTAATTCGCTGAGACTGCCGGGGACATGCTTTATTTGTAAGGCAGACCCCTTTCAAAAGAAAGCCCAAGACGCTTTTTAAACCAGTCTGCGGAACTTCACTACTGCAGTACCCAAGCCCCTCGCACAGCCTTGCCAATGACCACGAGCACCTGCAGCACAGCAGTCGCCACTAGCACATCTGAAATTTCCTCCACAATTTCCTACAGGAAGTTTTTTTTTCCTCCCCCAAAAAGCTTTTTTGTTGTTGCTGTTCCCTAGACGAAAACAAAAGCGAAAAGTTTCATGAAAGCGGAATAAGCGAAGGCAAGAGCGTCTTGAATTTAAACATTTAAAATTCCCGCCTTGATCCGAACCAGCGATCCTGAACGCGGCGCACGGAAAGAGGCGTTTCCCTCAGCTGCTTTCTGGCAGCGAGACGACTCACTTTCTGGAGGTCTCCACTCGAGCCCACTTAAGGGGATATCCAGAACAATTACCGCACACCTACAAACCTAACGTCCTGACTCCAGATTTCGGACAGGGACCCCCCCCACCCCCCAGCCCGCACCATAACGATCTCTCCTTCCCGCCCACGAGTCCGAGGGCTGGTCTGTAGCCCTGCGGTAACGAGAATTCGTCTTCAGGGTAGGAACCTCGGGATCCTCAGGACGCGGCCAGGCCTAGCCACGAGTTCCTAGAGCCCTCGCAGTAGAGGAAGGGGTGAGGGGGTAAAAAAACAAACAAACAAACAAACAAACAAACGCCGCCGCAGCCCAGGCCGCTCCC